TGGATGCAGACATCAGGGGTGTGTGGTTGAGGCTTGGAAGCCCGGAGGGCTTCTGGTCCTTCTAGGTATTATAGATGTTTTTTGGTGGTGTTAGACTTTTACTGGTTAATATAAACTTTGTCTCTGATCTGTGGGTTTTTTGTTTTCTTTCAGTTCTGTGTTGGATAATTAGCTACCCCCACCACTTAAACTCTGCAATGGAACAAATTTGTAGTCCTTTGCTTACTTCTAAAATAGGGGAACTTCCTGTGGGGACCAGCACTTGAGCCCTGTGGTTGAGCTAAATTACTGCTTTGCTGCTGATTCCCTGGGGAAGGCTTTTTGTGCAGCTCAGGTTTTAATTGTTGACCTTATAAGCACTTCTGGGTCTTGTGAGGTCCAGTACACTGGGGTTGTGTGGAAACTCTGGTCTGGGCTTGAGTCTTTTCTGCAAACTGCACCCCCTGCAGTTCTATATTCCTGACCAGTCTCCACTGAGTGGGCCTGTGCTGATTGGGGGGCAGATTAGTTGTCCATGCTATGCCCCAGTGTTCCCCCAGTTGGTCAGTCTCTCCCACTCCACACACTCCAAACACTTTCCAGGGGACAGGTCATGTGCTGGTCCCTTGCAATGACTCAAGGCTTTTGAGTGGCTCCTTTTTTCAGTGTCTGTGACCTCTCATTCCTAACAGGGAACCCTGTTAGTAGTCTTGCTGGCCTGGGGGCCACCAAGGCCCTCTTCTCCCCTGTAGTCTCCCAGCAACCTCATATGAAGGGCATGGCAGTGGCTTTTGCCAGCTCTTACTCTGCTCACTAGGGCCAGCCTTGAAATGGCCAGGGCTTGAAACGGTCAGAGCAGTTCCTCCTTTCTCTCATCGTAGCTTCTCTTGCTTTCATGAACTCTGTAGGTATCTACTCCTTTTCCCCTGAGCTCTAGCAGTCCCGGCTTGGCAGTTGTTGCTTTTTAATCGTTGTAAATTGGCTGATTGTGGGAGAGGGTGACACTGAGTACTGTCTATTCCAGCATCTTCATCAGAATCCTCTTTGTATAGCTTCTTAATGTGTATAACTAAATCTAGAAAAACTTGACATTCTATTGATTGTAGTAATTACTGTTTTTTTTCTATTTCTTTTTTTCCTTCTTAAAAGGGGAGAAATGGGAGACTTGAAGTCAGAAGACTTGGGTTAATTAGCTGTGACCATGGATAATTCACTTAACCTTTCTATGTCTGAGCTTCTTTACCTTGCCATATATCTTGTTATAAATGTAACAAGGTATAACATGTGAAGAGATCTCTACCAGGTCCTTTCAGTGAATGTGGGAGAAAATTCCCAATGCGTTTCCAGCAGGTGGACAGGAAAGGAACCATTTGGAAATATGCCAGAGCATTCTGTTCTTTTTTAACAAGGTCTGCCCTCAGGAGAAACTATTTTACCAGAACCTAACCTGCTGGTTTATTATCATCATCACCATCAGAGCCCACTGATGGGGGAAGGGAAATACCCAACTCTAGCTGGTTCTCGCTTTCCACATGGTAGAAAGGAATACCCAACTCTAGTCCATTCTAGTCATTCTGTCAACTGACTGACTTGAGGTGGGGGGAAGGGGGGGTGAGCAAAGAAGGGATGGAGAAGCACTGGTGAAGTTCACAGTCCAGGGGCACAGGCTTACTAAAAGACTGAGACCTAATCATAAGACTACAGAATGCTTCCTTCACCCCGATGACTTACCACCACATTATGAAAGGCCTATTTACTGAAGTTCCTTTTACCCAGTACATCATGTCCACCATTCAACAAAAAATTACAAGTCATACTAAGAAGCAAAAAAATACATTTTGTAGAGGCTAAATAAGCATCAGAACCAGAGTTAGATATGGCAAGAATGTTGGAATTATCAGACCAGGAATTTTAAAAAAGTGATTAATATTCTAAGGACTTTAATGGAAGAGGTAGACAACATGCAAGAATAGCTGGATAATGTAAGCAGAGCTGGATAATAGAAATTCTAAGAAAGAATGCAAAAGAAATGCTAGAGATCAAAACCACTGTAACAGAAATGAAGAAATTGAATTAATAATTACTAACCTTCCAAAACAGCAGATACGAGGCCCAGATGGGTTCACTGGTGAATAATACCAAACATTTTTTTTTTTTTTAAAAAAGATGACCGGTAAGGGGATCTCAACCCTTGGCTTGGTGTTGTCAGCACCACGCTCAGCCAGTGAGCAAACCGGCCATCCGTATATAGGATCCGAACCTGTGGCCTTGGTGTTATCAGCACCGCACTCTACCGAGTGAGCCACGGGCCCGCCTTAATACCAAACATTTAAGGAAGAAATTATACCAGTTCTCTACAATCTCTTCCAGAGGACAGAAGCAGAGGGGATACTTTTTTTTTTTTCCTTTTTGTCTTTTTTTTACTGACTGGTAACGGTGTTGCGCCCGCACCACGCTCAGCCAGTGAGCGGGAACCGGTCTCCACATGGGATCCGAACCCTGGGCGGGAGCGCCGCCGCGCTCCCAAGTGGCGCACTCTCCAGTGCGCCACCGGGCCGGCCCAAGGGATATTTCTTAATTCATTCTATGTGGCTAGCATTACTGTAATACCAAAACCAGATATAGACATTACAAGAAAACTACAGACCAATATCTCTCATGAACACAAATGCAAAAATCCTCAACAAAATATTAGAAAATCAGGTTTTTGAAAAACAAAACATTAGCAAATCAAATCCAACAATGTACAAAAAGAATTATATACCACAACCAAATGGGATTTATCCCAGGTATGCAAGGCTGGTTCAACATTCAAAATCAATCAGTGTAATCCATCACATCAACAGGCTAAAGAAGAAAAATCACACGATCATATCAACAGATGAAGAAAAAGCATTTGGGAAAATCTAACATCCATTCATGATGAAAACTCTCAGGAAGCTAGCAATAGAGGGGATCTTCCTCAGTTTGCTAAAGAACATCTACAACAAAACTAGAGCTAATAACATACTTAATGGTGAGAAACTTGAAGGATTTCTGCTAAGATCAAGAAGAAGGCCTGCCTCTGCAGAACTATTACCTATATAATGAACCTGCCTCAAAGTCTTCTTGAGAAGACTTAAATATTTGTGGGGGAAGATTTTGTCTTACAATAAAAAGGCCTAAGAGATTTGGGAAAGGCTGTCCATTTGACATTAAAAAAACATGAACAATTAAACAGTGAAAATGAATTAGATTTATCTTGACTGCTTACAGAATAGGACACAGTGGAACACAGATTCAAGACTACTAATTTTTGATACTTAAACCAAAAACAGCACCCAGGTAACTGTTCTAAGCCAGGGATTGGGCAATTTTTTGTTGTCTCCAAGAGAAAAGTGGCATACTAGAACAAAAAATGTTTACTTTTCCATGTATGAGTATTTATTATTTTGTTTAAACGTCTTAGTCACATATCTACTATTTATTTTAAATATATGGCTAACTTATCTTAATACAGTGTTTTTATTTACTAGATTGACCACAATAAAAGTAGGCCTTTTCTCTTTCTCTAGAAAAATAACAAGACCTTGGGCTCCTGTTGCAGACCAATAGAGCTTCTACATAATTAGTGGAACGATTTTCTTTATATTAAAATCTCTCAGTCATGACTCCAACCTGTTTGCTTTTCAAGTTTTCTTTTAGCAGATAACTAAAAAGTTACTTATTTGGCTAATTTAGCAGGTTTTCATAACACCCACATTAAGACTTACTCATCAAGGCGTTTTTTGAGGGAATATCTACTCCGAATTAGCATTAGTTGCTGCTTTTTTTGTGAACTTTAGTTCATTATTTTCATTAACAAAATAAAGCTAAACACCTTGGCATCCTCACTTTATGGCTCTTTTCTACTGCAGTTACTAAAGCTCTTTCAAGATATCACATTTTTGGCTCACAGGAAAGAGTTTTAGGCATGGGTGGGTATTTAATAAACTTATAATGAAAGTCTACTTTCAAAATGCAGTAGTTGGTGTTTTCTTTAGAAGTTACCAAAAAGAAGAAAAGCTGGTCCAAAATTAGGCAGTACATCCCATGCTATTCTTTTAAGCCCAATGTATATTCTCCTAGTTAAGTGTTTGTTTCTTGACAGTCAGTTTGCAAGCTATTACAAGAAAAGGTAATATTTTATACATTCACTACAGTCATTAAAGCCAACATTGACCCTTAAAACTCTGAAGTCATTCCTTATTAGTTATTTTCACTTTGTTTCTAGGACTCTCGTTTCCTTCTTTATTTTGATATTCCCGCGGCTTTTCTGAAGTCCCATAGCAGACTTCTCCGCAATCTTCTCTTTGACCATTCCTGCTCCGCCTGAATCAGCAAACTAAGGAATACATTACCACTGCATCGTGGAAGTAACAGAACTCGACAGCTTTTCTGCACATTTGGTCAAAATGCATCCTCCGAAGTTGTACTACCTAATCCCTTCAATTCTCTTCCCACATCCATCCTCCCTTCAGCAAATAAACCTCGGATCTAGATTTAAATCTGCCCTCCTTCCTTACTGCTTCTGTCCTTCCCACTGAACCCAAGTTCCTCTTCCCAGTCCTTCCATTTCCCAAGAGAATCAATAACCTCTTTTTTTTCAGGGCTTTAAGTACGAGGATCCGTTTCTTCGTCCGTATCGGACCTGCAGCCCTCCGTGCTTCCCCGCCCAGGCCTGACCTCCACTTCGGGAACCGCCGCTGGCGTTGCGGCCCCACCTCCCGCAACCATCCTCTCCTCTTAGCGCCACTTCCGGATCTCGGGTGTCACCTCTTTACCGGTCCGCCCCCTTCTCCCGCTACTTCCTAGCGCTTTGTCTTAACCACTATCCGGGTCGGAGCCGGGGCGCAGGCTACCCGAGCGCAAGAGTTCGCCTCCATGAGGCACTGAGTAGCTTCTCCAGCCTGAGAAATACGGCCTGGCTGAGGACTGGAGTGGTGGCGGTGAAGGGACAGTTTGTTTTGAGCACCAAGTGAGACACACCCGGAAGTGGCGCGGCATAGGAGCTGCGCCGCGGTCGGGGCGGGTGCCAGGTACCGGGAGGTGGAGGGGACGCCTCAGTACTCTTCCGCGTGAGTGTCTACGCAGGGTGGAGTGCGGGGGTAGCAGTAGCGGGAGGGGACCTGGCTCTAGCTCTGCTTCTATGGTGGTAAGTCCGGCTGGGTTCTGGGAGGCGAAGGCCTCCCAGAGCTGGGTGGCTGGGCTGGTGAAGGGCTGCAGCGGCCGAAGGGTAGCTCGCCTCACTTCATTCTCCCACTCCAGGGGACCCGCTCTCTTCAGGTCGCCACCTCTTCCACCCCTCGGCGAGGGGAGCTGTGCGAGTGATGGAGTCGCAGCTGGAGCTGGGAGTCCGCTTGAGTTTTCTTTGCTTCTGGGAGGAAAGGAGCTGCCGCTTTGGTGGAGACTGCTGCTTTTTGGCCTCCATACTCTCCTGAGAAATGTTTTTTTCTTCTCTGCACCGCCGACTCAATTACTTCTAACGTTTCTGTCTTTACCTCTTTCAGCTTCTAACTTTGACTCCTCATCTAAAAAGATGCTGGAGTCATATGTAACTCCAATTTTAATGAGCTATGTGAATCGCTACATCAAGAACTTAAAGCCGTCGGATCTACAGCTTTCACTATGGGGTGGAGACGTGGTTCTCAGCAAGCTCGAGTTAAAGTTGGATGTATTGGAACAGGTAAGCTGTGTAGTTGTCATTGACTGGACACATTTTCAGCCTGTTTAGATTTAATCCGTTGTTTCCTGCGCTTTGATTTTATGCTATAAAACGTCACTTTTTCTGCTTCACGTATTTTGGGCTACCCTGAAACTACAGACCTTGTTTTACAGAATTTTTTTAAAGGTTCGTTCCTAGTGATGGTTTATTAGAACAGGGTTCCCCAAAGTTGCTCTAACTGACAGGAAAACAATTTCATTGTTCTTGTTTCAGAATTTCAGAATTGTTCAATTACTTAATTCTCAAGCCTTACTGAACATGCAGATTCACATTGTCAAAATTTTGTATGAAGCTGGAAAATATTACATTTCCATTCTCCCTTTTGGGCAGTGAAAGGGTCTGAAAGACAACAAGGTCAGATGTTGGGGGAAAGTTCTGTCTCTCTCAGTAGGAAAGATGACACATTACCCATAGCATCCTCAGGAGTATTAAGTAGAGACATTGAGAATGGCAGTAGAGTTGGAAACTTCTTTATTAATCGCTTCTTTTTAGTTTCTTTTAACATAGGAATGGTCTGATACAAATGAACTGTAACTTCAAAGTTCACATATTCATTAATTTATTTATTAATAATATATGCCAGGCAATCCTGTTAGGCTTGAGGATGCAAAATATCTGTGGAAGCTCAGAAAAATCAAAGATAAACAGCTTTTTTAGGAGATCAGGAAGGCTTAAATCTGGTCATGACAATTATCAATAATTTTTAGTTATATTCCACTGCCTCCTGTATTATTGAATAATCTAGAGTTAACTCTAAGAAATAATACTCTTGGCTCCCTCTCCATCCTCTCCCCAGGTAAGTTGACTGTCTTAATATTTTCCTTTTATTTTTTTCTTAATGAGCACAAATCCTAAGTATAACAGCTCAATTTTTAAACATATGTACACCTGTGTATCTACTCTCCACATCAAGTAGAATATTTCCAGTAGAATATTCCCCCAAAATCTCCTCTGTGCCCTTTTGTAATCAGTACTCCCCACCCCTAAAAGAAGTGACTGCTAATCTGATTTCTATTAACATAGATAAGTTTTACCTTGAACCTCAAATGAATTGTAATCATTTGTGTCTGGCTTCTTTCATTCAACGTTATGGCTAAGATTAGCTCATGTTGTTGACGACTAGTAGTTTGTTCTTTATATTGCCTTATAGTATTATTGCATTTTATAAAGATTCCACAACTTACTTACCTATTCTACTGATGGACATTTTGCTACAACTTTGGTATGTTTGTTATTTCAGTTTTAGCTTTTCTAGTGAGTGTGTAGTGATATATTATTGTAATTTTAATTTGCATTTCACTAATGACTAATGATGTTGAGCACATTTTCATGTGCTTATTGTTCATTTAGATATCCTCTTTGTAAAAGTCTCTTAAGTCTTTTGCATTTTTTTTTAAAGCATTGGGTTTTCTGTCTTTTTCTTATTGATGTATAGAAGTTCTTTATATATTTTGAAATGAATCCTTTGCCAGATATGTTTTGAAATATCTTCTTTCAGTTTGTAGCTCGTCTTTTTTTCTCTTAAAGTTGTCTTGATGAACAGAAGTTCATAATTTTGTCAAGGTCCATTTTATCAATCTTTTTCTTTATGGTTAGGGATTTTCGTGTCTCATTTAAGAAATCTTTGCATACTTCAGGGCCATGAAGATGTTCTCTTAGGTTTTCTTTTTTGAACTTTATTGTATTCTGTGACTCGTCTCCAATTAATTTTCCTGCATATGTGTAATAGAGGTTAAGATTCATTTTTGTTTCCATTGTTATTTAGTTGATCCATGCCATCTATTGAACCATTCTTTTCCTGCTCAATGACAGTAAGCTTTTGCTGTAAATCAGTTTGCCATATGTGTGTGGATTTGTTTCTGAACTCTTTATTCTATTCACCTTTATTCTATTTCTCTATTCTTGTGTCACTCCACACTAACTTTTACTGTGGCTTTTATGATAAATCTTGATATCTCAGTGTAATTTGTATTTACTCCTTTTTTCCTTTCAAATTGTCATAACTATCCTAGGTTTTTTTGTATTTACATATACATTTTAATATCATCTTGTAAATTTTAGAATTATTTACCCACAAAAAGAGGAAACCCATTGGCATTTTCATTGGGATTACATTGAATCTATAGATTAACTTGGAAGGAATTAACATATTAACATAGTGAGTTGACATAGTATTGAGTTTTTCAATTCATGTACAGGCATTGCTTTCCATAGTTTTAGGCCTTTAAATTTCTCTCAGCAACATTTTGGAGTTTTCAGAGAGGTTTTATAAATAGCATTATTTAAAAAAAAATTCCATTTTTTAATAATTTGTTACCAGTATGTAGAAATACATTTGACTTTAGTATATTGACCTTCCATCCAGTGGCCTTTCTAACTTAACCTAACACTTTTTGGTAGGTTCATTTGGATTGTCTATGTACATAAGTATGTCATCTGCAAATAATGATGGTTTTACATCTTTCTATTCAATGCTTTTACCTTTTATTCCTTTTTCTTTCATTATTGCACTGGCTAGGACCTCTTATACAATGTGGAGTAGAGGTTGTGAGAATAGACATTCTTTTTTTGTTCCCAACTTCAGTGGGAAAGTGTTCAATATTTTACCGTTAAGTATATTGTTAGCTGTAAATACCATTTTATTGGATTAAAGAAATTCTCTTTTATTCCTGCTTTTCCAGTGAGTTTTTTGAATCATGAATGGGTATTGAAATTTCATCAAATATTACATTTAATGAGTTGATATCTGATTTTCTCTTTTGTTAATATGGTGAATTACATTAATTGAGTCTCTCAAATGTAAAGATAACCTTGCTTTCCTGGAATAAATCCCAGTTTGTTATTATGTAGTATCCTTTTTACATACTGTTGGATTTGATTTGTTAAATTTTGTTTAGTTGTGTTGCTTATGAGTTATACCAGCCTGTGATTTTTCCTTTCTTGTGATGTCCTTACTAGGTTTTGATTGTCATAGTTATGTTGGCCTCATTAAATTACTTGTGAAGTATTCCCTCATTTTATAATCTCTGGAAGAGTTTATATAAGATTGGTGTTCCTATTTTTTTCCTTTTTTTGTGGTCAAATATATATAACATACCATTTTAACCATTTTTAAGTGTACAGTTCTGTGGCATCAATTACATTCACATTGTTGTGCAACCATCACCACCATCCTTCTCCAGAACTTTTTCATCTTCCCATACTGAAATTCAGTACCCATTAAGCACTAACTCCCTATTCTCCCCTTCTCCCAGCTCCTGGCTACCACCATTCTACTTCATCTATATGAATTTGACTCCTCTAGGTATCTCATTATAAGTGGAATCACTCAATATTTATCCTTTGGTGACTGGCTTATTTCACTTAGCATGTTGTCTTCAAAATTCATCCATGTTGTAGCATGTGTCAGAATTTCCTTCATTTTTAAGGCTGAATAATATTCCATTGTATGTACATACCACATTTTGTTTATCCATTCATCCATTAATGGACACTTGGGTTGCTTCCATCTTTTAACTATTGTGAACAATGCTGCTCTGAACATAAGCATACAAACATCTCTTTGAGACCTTGCTTTCAATTCATTTGGGTATATACCCAGAAGTAGAATTGCTGGATCATATGATAATTCTATGTTTTATTTTTTGAGGAATCAAAAATACTATTTTCCACAGTGACTGTACTGTTTTACATTTCTACCAGCAATGCACAAGGGTTCAATATCCTTGTCAATACTTGTTATTTTCTGTTTTTTTGATTATAGTGATCCTAATGTGAAATGATATCTCGTTTTAATTTGCATTTCCCTGGTGATTAGTGGTGTTGAACATCTTCTCATGAACTTATTGGCCATTTCTATGTCTTTGGAGAAATGTTTATTTAAGTTCTTTGCCCATTTTTGAATCAGGTTGTTTGTTTTGTTGTTGTTGAGTTGTAGGAGTTCCTTATATATTGTGGATATCAATCTGTTATCAGATACATGCTCTGCAATATTGTCTCCCATTCTGTGGGTTGCCTTTTACTCTGTTGATAGTGTCCTTTGATGCACAAAAGTGGTAAATTTTGATGAAGTCCAACTTAGCTATTTTTAATTTTGTTGCCTGGGTTTTTGGTGTCATATCCAAGAAACCATTGCCAAGTCTAGTGTCATGAAGCTTTTCTTTTATGTTTTTATCTAATTTTTAGCTCTAACATTTAGGTCTTTCATCTATTTTGAGTTAATTTTTGTATATGGTATAGGTAAGGGTCCAAACTTATTTATTTTTTGCATGTGGATATTCAATTTTTCCATCTCCATTTGTTGAAAACTGTTCTTTCCTCATTGAATGGTCTTGGCACCCTTGTTGAAGATCATTTGGTCTTAGATGTGAGGGTTTATTTCTGGGCTGTCAATACTATTCCATTGGTCCATATGTCTGCCTTTATGTTAGTATCACACTGTTTTCATTACTATTTTTGTTTTTGGCTTTGTAGTGAGTTTTGAAATCAGGAAGTATGAGATCTTTAACATTCTTAGTTTTTTAATGTTAGGAAAAATTAAGCATGAAATCATCTGCATCATGTTGGAAAGTCGTAAATGACTAACTTCATTTCTTTAAGAGATATAGGATCTTTTAGACTTTTATTTTTCCTTTGTTAGTTTTGGTGAGTTGTGTTTTTCAACAAATTCCTTCATTTCTTGAAAATCAAGGATCAGCAAATTGTGGCCTGAGCCTACTTTTGAAAATAAGGTTTTATGGGAACACAGCTATCCTCATTGGTTTACCTAGTGTCTGTGACTGCTTTTGCACTAAAATGGAAGAGTTCAGTAGCTGGGACAGAGACTGGATGACTTGCAAAAGCCTAAAACATTTACTCTCTTACTCTTTACTGAAAAAGTTTGCCTGCCCCTGCTCTAAATTGTCATATTTAAAGATATAAAGTTGTTTGTTATTGTTGTTTATTTTAAAGTTGCCTGTTTA